TTATATTCATCTCTCTGTGTTATTCCTATTAACATAAAACATAACTTAATATTACTCATTTCAAAACAAAATTCCCTTGGCTAAACCATCAATATCCCCCTCTTTACTGTATCATTCACATTAGCATAAAACACGGGTTGTTATTACCCAACTTAAAGCAAGACAAAACTCCCTTGATTCCAGGCCCAACATCAGCTGTCACTCTGTCTATGGTACACTTCACTGCAAAAATTCTCAATAATATTTATCTTCACCTTCATTTGTTTACCATTTTTTCTCCATCTACTCCAATAAGATTATGCCCACACTCTTCCACTAAAAACACCCTCACCCAGGCAACCAATAACATTTATCAAGTCAAAAACAACAGCAAAAAAAGTTTAGCATTTGTTGTGAGTTGAATTATACTCCTCGTGAAGATGTACTTAAGTTTTAAATCCTGGTACTTGTGAATGTAACCTTATTTGGAAATAGAGTCTTTAGATGTGATGAAGATGTATCAAGATCAAGTCACATTCATTTAGAGTGAGCCCGAATTCAGTGTGACTGGCATGTGTATATAAACAACAACAACTAAGAGTAAACACAGAGGCAGCAAAACACATAGGGAGAATTGCATGTTGACAGAGGCAGAGATTACAGTGACATATCTTCAAACCAAAGAACGCCAAAGATTGTCAGCAGCTCTGAATTTAGAATTTAGGATCAACTTGCAGGTACAGGCTGCATATGGTCATGGACAACTCATAATGTGGTCCTCTGGATCAGAAACTTATATCATTGCTATGTGATTTTTAGCAATGTTTTTTATGATTCAATTGCATGGTACTGCACCATGGCCTGTAAGGTAACAATGGAGCGCTGTGTAGGATAGAGCCCAAGGCACTGCTAACCCTGATTCCTACACCCATCACACAGCTGTTAGAAGTGCATGTATCAGACATCACATGCACTTGAGCAATTTGGTGAGTAAAATGCAGTTACCAATCTTAGCATTTCACTGACTACCTGTGTGCCTGTGTAGACACGGGCTTATTGCTATTAAGCACAGATATAAGTTTTCTTAATTATTATTTACTTTTCCTAAAATAATTTTACAAGTTCAAATATAAAACGTAAAGGAAGTTTTGTTCTTATATTCATCAACTCCATATTTCACGGGAGACCCAAAACAATTACTCTTCTATGTGGTCCAAGCAAATCAAAGGGATGGATGCCCATGATTTAGATGTTAATACTTTTCGGATTTATAATTCTATCCATAACATCTCTCTTAAGTTCCAAAAGAACAAATTTAAATAACAATCAACTTCTCTATTTAGATACACAATAGATATCACAAAATTAATATGGCTTAAAGAGAACCATCTTATTATTGATTCTGGAAATAACACATTTGCTGAGTTCACCTGTCACAGCAAATGGCAACAGCATCCACTCAGTTTCTCAAGCCAAAAACCTAAAAGCCATATTAATTTCGATTGTCTTTAATATTATACATCCCATCCACTGGTGATTCTTGTCTACTCTTCCCTGAAAACACAGAGATGATTTAAGTAACTTCATTTCATCTTCAACTGGTATTAGTTTCTTGTGAGAGCTGTTTTTCTTGATAGTTTAGTAAAAGACTACTCTATCTTACCTTCTTCTAGGGACACCTTTCCCTTCCAAATGCTTTTCAGTGCAGGGGGCTTCTCCTTCTGAACTCTGCAACTAAATTCTTCATTTCATTCAAATCCCAAAAGATGTCACCTCCTCAATCATTTTCATTTACATAGTAGCTAAAGCAACCAACCACTGTAGTCAGGCTCTCTCTGTTCAATTTTCTATGTTATGTTCTTCATAGTTGGTTAATTATTACACTTTTATTTTGACATACTTAGTTTTCACTTCCTCTCTAAAATAACAGCTTTTATGTTCATGAACTCTGTAGCACTCTAGTATTTCAGTGAGTAGAAACATTTTAGGACCAAGCAGATGCACAATAAATATGTATTGACTATTTAGAAAATGAGTGAGAATCAAGCAAGTTGAAAACATGGGCATATAATTTAGGAGGGTGTTGCAATTCATTTAAGATATAATGGCAGTATCTATTATATATTTTGATCCTCATTTAAACTTTCAGTTTTTCATACCAGAGAAACTATTCAGTATTTACACGTGTCCTATTATTTTCACTTAAGAGTATGGCCTCAATGTGCATCCATTTAGCTATAAATGTCTCTAGTTTCTCTTTCTTTATAGCTGAGTAGTACTCCATTTTATATTAAAAAAAAAACCCACATTTTCTTTTTTTTTTCCCTCTTTGAGTTTATTGGTACATTTTAGGTATACAGTACAGCTACATTCAGTATTGGGATCTTGTACCTTTACCTGACAGGTCTTGGTTCTCATTTTTTCCGCTTGTCTCTGCCCTCCCTTCATGCCACATTTTCTTTATCCAGTCACTAGATGATAGGCAATTGGGCTGTTTCCAAGTTTTAGCTATTACAAACTGTGCCACTATAAACATGGCTGCATGTGAAATAGGGAAAAAGGGTCTGAAGAGAAAGGGGAAGTGGAAGTGGGAGGGGTTAAGGAAAGGAAAGAAGGGAAAGGAATAAATATGAGAAAAGAAAAAACTGGAAACAAAGTCTTTGTAAATGGAGAGGTGGAGGGGTTGAAGGGAGGGCAGGGGAGTGGGAAAAAAATAAGAACCAAGATATATCATGTAAAGGTACAAATTCCCAATGATGAGTGTCATCATGTTGTATACCTAAAATGTACCAATAAATTTAATGAAAAAAAAAAGGAAATATTGCCAGCTTGAAAGCAAATCATGGGTGAATTGGTGATAAGCGAATTGAAGTAACCTTTAAGAGAACATAGTATTTCATTCAAGAGGAATGAGAGAAAAAAAAACCCTGTAATAATTGACATACTTTTGACCTAAGTAAATGGATGGAGGGTTCATTGTCAAAAGACATACCAAAGGGGACACAATGTTAAGGAACATATTATTAAGAAAAATTACACCGATGTGATTAAAAAAGAGGCTCAGGGTTTCTAGAGCTGTTTGTGCTTGCTGGTTCTATTCTCTAAACCTGGAGCATTTTTCTCCCTGCAAAAGAATCTGATTTCCACTTTTACTATGAAAAGAATTTGGTCCTTTCAACTTTTATTAAGCCAATCAACATGGAGTCAAACACAATGGTTGCTTTTTCAGTTCTTATCTTCCTTGACCACTGAGGATCATTCACCCTTCTAGAAAGTCCCTATATTAGTCAGCTTTCTGCTCACCAAGGACAATATTCCACATTCACAATTTAAAGGAGAAGTTTAATTTGCCACACAGTTTGGGAGATTCAGTACACGATCAGCTGACTCCAAAGCAAGAACATCATGGTACCTGAAGAAGGTGTGGTAGAGCAAAGCTACTCAGTTCGTGGTGGAAGCAGAACAGGGGGATAGCACTGGATAGCAAGGGGCCAAGGACTAGAAAAAACACCCAAGGTCACACCTCCATGACACACAAATACACTCAGAAGTGTGCTTAACTAACCCCTCAAACAGCTGCCAAGTCAAGCGAGGTGACATTCTACCCTGCCACAGTCCTTATTGTAGATTCCTGTGATAACACATCTTCCTGCCTTTTTTTCACTTTTCCAGCTGCTCTTTCTAGCAACAACTGGATCAATTCTTAACTTTCCCACTGTGATTTACAAGGCCTCCCGAGTCTAGTCTTTCCTATTTTGATCCTCACCATTTAAATATCTTTCAGTTTGCTTCCTCTAAGAATTTTTCCCCTATTCCACATCTGAGTTAATTCTCTTTAATTATTAAACCATAGTATTCTCTTCTCTATCTCTCTCTTAAAGTACACTTCGTATATTCATTTCAAATGTCCATTTTTCAATTGGGTCTTCAAATTTGCAGGGGCCTAATACTTTTTTTTTTTTTAATATGTTCTACCTATTCTTCCTTTGTCTGAGGCAAAGGTTGGCAAAACATTTTTCCCACTTTGTAGGTTTCTTTTCATTCTGTTAGTGTTTCCTTTGCTGTGAAGAAGGCTTTTAATTTGATTTGATCCCATTTGTTGATTCTTGATATTGTTTCTTGTACAACCACAGTTTTGTTCAGAAAGTCTTTGCCTACAACACCTACATCTTCAAGAGTTTTTAACTCAAGCACATTAGCATTTTGAATGCATGTGAAATTTTCAGTGGACTTGGTAGTGAATAATATTCCTCCTTTATTGAGAAAACATTGGTAAAATAGACCTCCTTGTTCACATATTTTTCTACAGCTCTAAATTTTTCATTACTTTAATTTTGATTATTTTTCTGTAAATCAATCACTACCATTTCAGCATGAGTATTTGCCACTTTATTAAATTTTATTTGGAACATTTTAAGACATATGAAATCTATTATCACTAATATTATCATAACAAAGTGTTAAAAGTAAATGTTCCAAATACATTGGCAATCTTTATATATTTGATTTGGCATGTATTTTTAAAAGGCAAAAGCATGTTCTTTTGTGCGATTCAAAATTATATCTTTCTAGAATGTGGTTTCTACCACAAGTTGTAAGGTAGGCCCATAACGCAGCCTATTGGAGCTTCCGTTAGTACTCCCATTAAATCAGCTGGACAGGAGGCAGAACTTGGAGGTCAGTGACTAATGCTACAAGGAGGACTAACAGGAGTTGAACTGAAAGGAAGTAGAACTTTTCAACATAGGACTAGTTCACAGTTGAAGAAGAACCATTTATAGCCATTTTCTTGTTGACATGTTTAGAATCCTAATTTTTTTCACCACTTGGAAATTTCTACAGATGTAAATGGGAGTAAAAAGAAACAAAATGCATTCCTATAATACATACATAATGGAATCATATTTCATCCCTCATGAATCACTTTTTCAGGAAGATACTGAAGTATCTATAATATTTTATCAATATTAACCGTGCCTTTCGTGTATAAACTTGTAAGATTTGGGGTGAAATGTACTCACACTCACTTTCCCACTGCGATTGTCTTCTTCTCTCATAGCCAGGGCCTTCAGAAAATTATCTTGCAGGTCTTTACCAGCACTTGCCAGCGTCCTGTAAAAAGAAGGTCTTCAGTTATGTCACATAATAAATATAATTAAAGCACTGGGGCCAAAAACCACGCTTCTTTATGCCAAGTGCCAAATTCCTTATAACATGGAAATGATGTGCAATCATTATGATCTTCTAGGTTTTTTATTTAATTTCATGCAGTTATACAGTCCTTATTTGCAAATAATAGGAGTCAAGTCTATGACTTCTATATGTATGCTTATCAATACTTGTGCCAGATACAATTAACTTCATTTATATGCCTCTTTTATCGTTATTATCATGTCAAAAAGTCAACAAAATTTTAACCTTTACTTTTCACAAAAAAAAATACATTAGACTGTCAAATATGTGTGGTCATGCATGCCTATAATTCCAGCTACTCAGGAAATCTAGGTGGGAAGACCACAAGTTTCAGGCAAGTCTGGCAACTTAGCCAGACTCTGTCTCAAGAAACAAAAATAGTTCAGTGGGAGAGCCATCAGCTAGCATATGCAAGCTTCTGGGTTCAATCCCCAGTACTGTGCAAAACAAAAAACAAACAAAAATTGTCTGTAACTTGAGTGTAATTTATTTATTAATTTAAGACAATGAAAATTTGATATGCGAAAACCAATACAATTAGTGGAATAGGGCATTAATTTTAGCTCTATGAAGAGAGATAATGAAGACAAGAAAGGAAACTAGGTCGACATATCTTTATTAGACAAAAGGAAGCATTAAGAATTTAAAGCAGACATGAAATTTGCAAGGGAACATCCCAGAGACTTCAAGAACTTCAAGCTACATAAATGAAGAGAGTTCAAGAGTTGTTTGTGAAAGGAAAATCTTATCTGATCTGACTTAGAGCCACTGTGGAAAGAACAAGGGGTAAGACTCAATTAGGAAGTGCTTAGGAGTTAAAATCAAACAGATAATTGCTTTTGGTGAAGAGTTCATACGCAATTACTACAAGTTTCATTAAGCTGATTTCATTAAATCAATTATGATAGGTAAGCATGTGATTATTTTGTTCACCTAGAAAAACGCCCTCTAAATTGATCAGGACTCGTCTGCATTTGCTTCTCTAGCTTTATTTTCCTTGGCTTGTAGTACCAATGCCAACTAATGGTCTGAACACACAAATACACATAAAAAATAACCATGAAGAATGCCAGGTATTTAAGAACTTCTTTTTGCCAAAACATGAGTTCTCCATATTATAATGTATCCTAAATTTTAACCCCAAATCTCTAAATTATGATATTCAATGGGAGTATATGTATGTTTGTAGCAAGGGGGGGTATTTTGAAGGGAATTAATGATAATATGTCTTTTACTGTAATAATTGTTTTATGATTTAAACATTCACTGTATATTTTCTCATATCTTTTATATATAGATCATAATTTGGCTCATGAGTTGCTCATGCTCATTTTATGACATATTTTACATATTTTACTATTTTATAGTTATTGTTGTTGTTTGTGTTATTTCCAGGAATGTGCATGCAAAAAATAATCAAAATTACCCCCCAGATGTATCTGAGATAAAATGTTAGAAAAATCGATTTCTAGGTACCATTCATTAATAAGGAAGATGAGACACTGCAAATATTCTTTGAGGCCTGGCTGCCTTGCTAAAGGCTATGGTCTTCAGCAGATATCTGGGCCAGACAGAAAAAGGAAGCAAATTCTTTCTGTACCATGCTGTGGAAGACATTGTTCTCCCTTATTCTACTAAAATGGAAGTCTCCCTTTTCATCTGGGCATATAGCTGTCTGGAATAAAGAGTACTTTTCTTAACCTCTCTGAAGCTAGATATGACCATGTGACTAATATTTGTACAATAGGATCCAAGTGAAAATGATGTACAAACTCTAGAAAATATTAATATCTAAAAGGGGATGGGGGTATAGCTTTCTTCCTATAGCTATAATGCAATATGGCTACAGCTCCAACTATCATCTTGGACTCAGACTAAAGGCCATTATTATGAAGAAGGAAGGTAGGGAACAGGTTCCCTGATACCTTGGAGCACCAGCACAGCCCGGCTTGACCCCATTTGGTCTTCTTCCATATGAGGCTGAAAAGAATTTATGCTTTTTCAGACACTCTAATTTGGGTTTTTCTATTATATTTAGCCATGCCTAATTCAAACAGATAATTCAACATAGGAACCTTGCACTTCCTTCTGAAGAAGATGCTGTTCTATGATGGGCTTGATGACCAAATTGAACTTTAACCTTATTTATAATATTCTAAGGATTTTCCCTTTAAAAGAAAGATTTGTTTTATTATGTTTCTTTCTTCTTTTGTAGGACTCTTTTTGGTTTATGTATTGTATTCTGAGTAATTACTTTGAAGATAACAATATATGGTGTAATAACTATTGTTATTCTCTTACTGATTATGAAATTTGTTTTACTTTTTCATACAAATAAAAGATAAAATTCTTTAAAATAGAGCTGGAACCTTTTAAACAGTTGCATGAAATAACGAATCTAAATAGAAATAAGAAATGAGGCACTAATTTTTAATTCCTACTTATCTCTCAACTGATTAGTTTGAATCATCATATTTTCTGAATGTGTGTTTCATGGTAAGTCTAAATAATCTTTAAGCTCCTAGATGATCCAAAGCTTGTGATTTAGATTGATCATATGGTATTAGCAATCACCAAAACCCACTAATATATAATTAGTCTAACATTGTTATACAAATAATACATAAGATTGCACTGGTGCTTCTGTACTATTATTAAAGTATTCCATGCAGAGATGAATGTCATTTCCTATAAATTCTATAAGGAAGATAGAAGAATTTTTACTATAGAAATTGGAACAAGGAGGACAAGCATTATGGCTTCAAAATTATTTTTAGCAGAGAAAAAGGTAACATAAATAATCATTCTTACACCACGATACATATGAGAACTCTAAATTTCTTAGCAAGAGGAAATACTAGGAAAGAAAGTTAATATAGAATGTGTGGTAAGGAATTCTTAAATCTTTAACATGAATTACTGTTATTTAACTAGGTTTATTTAACAGTCAGTGACCTGAGAAATCTTGCTTAAATAAATATTAAAAAGGAGTTACTTCCTCAAGAAGTGAAGTATGTCTGTTACAAAATTTTAGAGTTATAAGTTATATAAAGGTAAATACTTAATCTTTCTTGTTTACACTCCACTGTACTCTCAAAATGAGGTAAAAGTTACATGGCTAAGTTAATTTTTACCAACTCTGTTTAATTTTTAGCTGAAGGTATTTATGTAACCCTACACGAATGACTAACCATAGTCTTAATGCTCAATAATTAAACTACTGGTTTTATAATTTAAGTATGTTGTTGATATATTGTATCATTAGGTTAACTAATAAAGAAGAAGAAGAAATGACAAAAGACAACTCTGTAAAATAATCTCATTTTCAAGATTTTTTTGCTTGAGTTAATAAATTGTTTCACTAATACTTGTGACTTACTAGTTCTTAAGATTTTAAATGTTATTATTGGGATTGTTCTAATGAGCAATGATGATTAAGCCTTAATATATGTTTCAATAAGCAATTTCTGATACTGACAAACTGCATTAAATTTTATTTTAATAAGAATACATTTTGGGGTGCTTTTTACTATTCCCTATGTTAGACATTTTGTAAACACTTTCATTTATTCTTAAACCAAGTCTTAAAGATGGATGTTTTCATTCCATTTTAGAGACAAAGTGAGACTCAATGAGGTTAAATAACTTGGTTATAATTGGTTGTTATTCAGCTTTGAGTTTAGATCTCACTGACTTCAAGTCATTATTTCACTACACTGGAGTCTCAGAATATATCACAATATTCTTCCACTGTGAAAACACTAAAATTCATTGAGAAGAAGAAATTTAAATTAGTAGGAGTGTATGTGAGTGAAGTAAGTGCAGCATGAAACCTTTATCTTGAGACATCCAGAGAAAGTTAATATGTACACTCATCATTCTAATCTAGGCTGCAATTCTGATCAATTACCCCATTCTTGCAGCTCTGAATGTTTTTAAATGTCAGTGAACTCTGACAAAAACTGCATTTCATATTTGTAGAATTTATATTCAACTCCGGAGCACTTGTTTAAATAAACAGTTCAATCTCTCTGAGCTTTAGTTTCTTAAAATGCTTTGCACATTTAGTTTGGAAAATGTTAATGAAAAATAGCACATGACTAAAAGTGCATTGTGGAAAATGCACAATATTATCTTATTTAAAACAGCAAACATTTATGAAAAAGCAGTTTTGAGAAATAGCTTTATTTCCATTGGAGAAGCATATTTACAGACTATGATATGTATTTCTATTCACAAATGTGATTAATTAAAAATATGATTTAGCTTATCATAATATGTAGATTTTTGACAATTCATTTAAGAATTAAATATGGGCATTAACTGTATTTTGATGTAGGCACCTATTACTCTATCACAGAAAAATAATCTTTATGTATATTTTATCCAGGAAAACATGATAGAAATACACATGCAAGAAATTCTAGCAGTATGCTCATACTACACCCAAATAATAAAAAATAAAAACTCTAAGGTCTTAATAAAGGACATATATGTACGAAAATTTAATGGAAACAAACAAGGCAAACCCTTTTTGCTTTCCTCTCCACATAAATTAGGAGAAAAAAAATCCTGCATTCCTTCAAATCAAATGTTTCTAAATATCTCTAGTGACTTCTACAAAAAAAACTGCCGTACCCTGAAAAAGGAGATTGAAGAAGACATCAGAAAATGGAAAGATGTCCCCTGCTCCTGCATAGGCACAATCAGTACTGTTCTAAACAACCATATTCCCAAAACTGTTACACAGATTCAATGGAGTCCCAATCAAAATACCAAGTGCATACTTTACAGATCTTGAAAAAACAATTCTAAAAATCACATGGAACCAGAAGAGACCCAGAATAGCAAAGGCGATTTGGGGCATAATAATGTCTGTGTAAACATTATATGCCATAACATGATCTAAGATCAATAAT